TATAAATCTACTAAAGAACTATCAAATGGAGAGAAAAAGAAGTAATTCCACGCTAGTTTCTCCACTAAAGCAGCTTTTCAGAAGTGATTGCTACAAACCTTATGATTTCAATTTCATAAGAACCTTATGATCGCTACAGCTTTTCACACGGCTTAATTCAGTTTCCCACAGTTCACTACTGAATTCAATGCTCAAAAGAAGACCTTTTCAGAAGTGATTGCTACAAACCTTATGATTTCTAAATAAATACTAAAATTCAAACACATTTTGGTCTTCAAAGTTGAAACCTTTCCTATCACTAGTAATGTATAATTAGACATTCCAAACAATGCACCTTCCGGAAGTTGGAGATGAGGTGATGTACAAAAGATGGGGACTTCTGGTAAAACCAGTGGAGTGCCATGACAGCCTTTTTCCTAACAGCCTGCTTGGGGCGCCCCAACAGCTCCGTCACTTGAGGCAACACTACGGAGATTGCCTCATCATTAATCAATTTGAAAACCGACCTTGAACGGACGCCATTGTCACCGAACGGGGACTATTGGAATTCTTACCATGCAAGCCAGCTATCTACCTGAGAATAGAAGCAAGTAAACGAGAGAGAAGACGACGAAAAATGGCCTGCTGTAGACTGTAGTCGAGTTTGCGAAGGAGTCTAACAAAATTTGAAATTACCGTTTGACTGTAAGAAGAGAAGCCGACTATTACGCCAACACACCAACCGATCTGCAATTGAAAATACTAAACTACCCCTAATTGGCTTAAATTAAATCCCTCTAGCGTAAAATAATTAAGCTATTAAAAATATGAACTATTGATTGATTAAGATAAATAGCTAAGATTAGTTCCTATGTTCCTACCTAAAGATGGGTTCTTATTATATGAATCTAATTCTATATATATATATATATATATATATATATATATATATATATATATATATATACCCCAACCAATACAACCAATTAGATACAATTGAAGCTTGATGAAAGGAACATACAGCAAGAAATTAATTTCAGTAGGTTTACAAACAAGATCTAATGCATGGGATACCCGATTAATCCCACGGTCCTAAAATGCTATAAGCTATCTGTTAAATTCAATCAATAGCAATAAACAATCGCTAATATCAATAATTGAGCCTTGGAACTCATCATGAATCCCAATATGCACTCTACTGTCTCAGGAAGCCATCAAGCTTACAACTATCAAAAATCTATATTCTAATTATAATAGGGCACTAGCATGTGTGCACTATTAGTTATCTATGAATGCATTCTCAAGTATTTTTAATACACCATAGTAATTACCAAAATGTCAAAACCTGCCTACACACACATGAGGGGTGTAGATAAATGCCTAGCATTATTAATCTTTTTTTTGGTATATCAAGGATTTTCATCGTCGGATACAGTGACTAATCCCTTCGCCGGATTGTAGGCATCTCTTTTAGGTGTGACAACTGGCCAGGAGTTTAAGGATGCTCCATACCCAAAGCCAAGGATCAAACCCTTGATCTTTAGTTAAGGATAGATGAGTCCCTTCCACTCAACTACACTTCCTAAATTATTGATCTAGTTCATCTCATAGTTAGAAAATAATAATAATAAATTTTTTTTTTTAAAAAGGAGAGATTGTGATGTCATTTTTGTAATTATTATTAACTTTGACTGTGCATTTAGAAAATCTTACGATGGTGCATTTGTAGGCAACTAATAGTGTGTCCTACTATGCAATTTGCCACCCTGAGTACCAATTCTTATGTGACAAATATGATCAACAGAGTGTTGGTAAGAATCAAATTCGTGATATATAGGTACAAGAATTATGTTCCATGCACTCGACCATTCCTTTTGGGCAAACAAATATTCTTTAACATCTATGAAGAACGAAAATTCAAAATTCAAAATCTCTTATGTAAAGTCTTAACCCTATGTCATTGGGCTATGAATGATTTAACATATAAGAGATTTGTAAAAGTAATTTTAATAATGCATTGAAAGATTATTATTATAGGTAATTAATTTGGTTCTTAGGCCGGATTAGAGGGATTATAGATTTGAATTAATATAATGGTGGGATTAAAGGATTAGAATACGGTTAAGACTTGGCTAATCGTACTATTTTTAGTTTAATTTGAATGGTTAGTGATGTGACTAAGCTAATAAAGATGTATTAAATGAATCTCAATCCACTTGCACATTTAATGGATTTGCACTTTTCAACCTTTATCGGAGTTTAGTCAAAATGTTATTAATGTTATTATTCTTTATATTAGTTTTCCATTGTAATAGGTTATTATTTTTCCATTAATGTTAATGGTGTTAGTTTATTTGACTTAGAATAGTCTATTAGTCACGAGAGGTTTACGTTTCCTAATATCTTTAGTATTGTCACACCTATCTTTGGTAACTGAATTTGAATTGCCTCTCACATCTGGTATCAATTCAGCCTTAGATTAGATCCTCCTACTTTTCCACCCCCACGACCAAAATGTCGACAAACTCATCGAAAAGAACCATCATCACCACCACCACTCCTCCTCTGGCCACCACCTCCAACCCTCTATCCTCGGCACATCACTTTGTATCGATTAAATTAACATCCAGAAACTATCTATTTTGGCATACACAACTGTCCCTTTTCTACGGGGTCAGGAACTGCTAGGCTTCGTCGACGGCTCTTCCTCCGGCGATTCCGCCTCGGGTGTGGCTGTCGTAGGCCCTGTGCCGAATCCGGTGTTCAAAGCGTGGGTGAAGCAGGATCAATCCATCCTCTCACTTCTCGTTTCTAGCTTTCATGGCCGACGAGGTGCTCCATCTCGCAGTTGGCCGGAACACGGCGAAGGAGGTGTGGGACTCCATCACCACCGCACTGGGTTCTAGTACACGGGCTCGATGCTTGAACCAGTTGGGGCAGTTCCAATCACTGCGGCAAGGCAACTCGTCTCCGCCGAAATACATCGGACAGGCACAGCTCATCGTTGAGGTCCTCTCGCTTGCCGGCGGACCGGCATCGCTGGATGAACAGAATCTCTGGGTGTTCATGGGTTTCCGGCCAGAATTCAGAGCCACGGTTGCCTCCCTTACGATGTCCAGTGCCCCTTCCACATTTGGCCGATTTCTTGCAGGCACAGGAGTTCATATATTCGGATGAACTCCCGACGGCGATCGGCGGCGGCACATCCAGTGGCTCTCCAGTAGCGCTGTATGTTGGGCGGGGCAGGAATCAGACCGGCGATGGCTCCTCCGGTTAGGGATGGCAATGGGGCCGGGCGGGGGCGGGGGACATATCCCCCGCCCCGGCCCTCGCAATCCCACCCCTCTCCCCATACCTCTCCCGCCCCCGCCCTCGCAATCCCACCCATTTCCCCATACCCGCACCCGCGCGGGTAATGAAATTCCTTCCCATACCCGCCCCCGTGGGGATTTTGCGAGTGCAGGGAATACCCATGGGGATTGTGCATGTAACCTTAGTCTTATTAATAATATGGAACTTACATCTAATAAAAATTTTATTACTACAATTTATAATATTAATGCATCAAAGTCTTCACCAAATAACTACCAACTGAAGTAGAGACTAGAGATAAGATCTAACAAATTAAATAAATAACATAATACTTTGATATTGACATTGAACATAAATATAATAACACACACACACACACACACACACACACACACACACACACACACACACACACACACACACACACACACACACACACACACACACACACACACACACACATATATATATATATATATATATATATATATATATATGCGGGTGCGGGTGCGGGGCGGGGATACCTCTCCCCGCACTCGCCCCATACCCGCACCCATTATTACCCATTGGGGCGGGGATGCGGGTAACCCTTTGGGTGCAGGTAGAATTGCTATCCCTACCTCCGGTGGACGGCACGACTTCAACAATCAAGGCCGTGGCCGCGGCAATCGTGGCTGACAAGGCCGTGGCAGATGTGGTGGACGTGGTGGTGGCCAGCCGAGGTGCCAGATTTGCTGCTCCCATGGGCACTCGGCGATTTATTGTTATAAACGCTACACCACGCAGCCCCCGCTTAGGCCAATATGGCCGTTCCTGGCGATGAGCACACGGCGTCAGCGACCGGCTCTTGGTTCCCGGATACGAGGCGTCAGCTCATGCCACGCCGGATGCTTCCATGATTTCGCAGTCCGTGGAGTACAACGGCGGGAATGTTCTGCGCGTCGGTAATGGCACAAGTTTGATTATTTCACGTGTTGGGTACGCATCTATTCCGTCCATGTCAAAACCCTTAAAACTGTCAAATGTGTTACATGTGCCAAAGTTGTCGGTTCCTTTATTATCTGTTCAAAGATTTACTAACGAAAATAACGTTTTCTTTGAATTTCATAAAAATTGTTTCGTTGTGAAGGATTCGATAACTCAGGCAATTCTGCTTAAAGGGCCCACTTCTGGTGGGTTATACAGACTTCCACTATCGTAGTCACATTTTGTTTTTCTTAGTTCCCGTACCACTCCCGTGATGTGGCATTGGCGATTGGGCCATCCTCACAGTCAAGTCCTCAATAAAGTGTTACAAGTTTGTCCGGTTGATCACAATAAATCCAAGTCATTGGGATCGCGCACCGCTTGTCACCTGGGAAAAGCATCACGGTTTCTTTTAGATAGGGTGTTTAATTCTAGCCAAAATGTACTGGACTTATTGTATACAGACATTTGGGGCCCAGCCCCGGTCCTCTCGAGTAGTGGTTTTAGATATTTCTTGTTATTTGTTGATGACTGTACTCGGTTTTGCTGGTTTTATCCCCTACGGGTGAAATCAGATATTTATAAAGCTTTTGAGTCATTTCGGGTTATGGTAGAATGCCAGTTTGCGGGTTCTATCAAGTCTATTCAGTCCGACCTGGGGGGAGAATATCGAAAACTACATAATATATTCCAATCTCTTGGCATTAATCACAGACAATCATGTGCTTACACGCACGAACAAAATGGCAGGGTTGAGCTCTGGAACAGACATATTGTCGATGGGTAAAGATGTCGCTCTTCTTAACACGATGCTCCGTCGTCTCTCCGTTGCATTCAAAATTCGGGATCTCGGAACACCGGGTTTCTTCCTTGCATAGAAACCTTGACAGTAGATGGGGGCCTCCTTTCACAAAAGCGCTACATAGGCGACATCCTTAATCGAGCTGGAATGATGGATTGCAAGTCGCTTACAACACCTGCCGCTGTCTCTCAGGCTGTCAGTCCTTCATCACAACCGCATGAAAACCCAACTCAGTACCGGCGCATTGTTGGAGCTCTACAGTACCTCACTATAACTCGCCCTGATCTGTCCTACGCCGTCAATCGGCTCTGTCAGTTCATGCACTCACCCACGGATGAGCATTGGGCCCTTGTGAAGCGGGTTCTACGGTATGTCAAAGGTACTATGGACTATGGTTTGCGCCTCTCTCCCTCTAGCTCTTTGGCCATCCACGCCTTCTCAGACTCCGATTGGACTGGCTGTCCGATTGACAAGAAGAGTACTAGTGGGTATGCTGTCTTTTTGGGGAACAACCTCGTCTTTTGGCTCTCTCGGAAACAGCGCACAGTTGCCCATTCGTCGACTGAGGCTGAGTACAAGGCTTTAGCTGATGTCTCGGCAGAGGTCACTTGGGTGGTTTCACTTCTTCGTGAACTCGGGTTACATTCCGGGCAGCCGTCTACGCTATGGTGCGACAACCTCGGTGCTACCTATCTTTGCGCCAATCCGGTCTTCCACGCTAGAACGAAGCACGTTGAAATTAACTACCACTTCGTCCGGGACAAAGTCGCCTGTGGGGAGTGTATTGTTAATTTTGTGTCTACCAAGGATCAGCTGGCGGATATCTTCACCAAGCCGCTCCCATGACCACGTTTTGCAGCTCTCCGGGACAAGCTCAATGTAGTCTCGCACCCACCTTGAGCTTGGGGGGGGTGTGTTATTAATGTTATTATTCTTTATATTATTTCTCTATTGTAATAGGTTATTATTTTATGTGGTGTTAGTTTGTTTGACTTAGAATAGTCTATTAGTCAGGAGAGGTTTACGTTTCCTAATCTCTTTAGTATTGTAACACCTATCTTTGGTAACTGAATTTGAATTGCCTTTCTCGTCCGCAAAGAGAGAATAGGAAGAAAATAATTGTAACTTCAAGGAGAAAAGAATAATGAGGGAATAAAGTAGTAATTCAATTTTTATTGTTTGGTTAGTGTGAATAGAATTATTAAAATTTATTTTTTGATGACGAAGAAAACTCACAATCAGCATTTGGTAAACCGTGTTCCTATGTAATAGCTCACAAACAACACCAAAGAGGTAAACTGCAATCGGAATACCATGTGTGATTAGCTCGACCGAGAGGATGTTGCAGGCACTTATTAAACTCGTGACATTTAAGTACGATAGCGGCCATGCTACATATACCCACTCAACTACCATTTTCAGGATAATTATTGAGATCTTTTATTCTAGTGTTTGGTTTATAAGAAAGTTGAAAAAGAATAAGTAGTGTAAAGACCAAAATCCCCATGTATTATGATAATAGTAAGAGAAAATTTCAATTTTGGTCATATGACTATAGGGGCTTTGTTAATTTCAGCACCTGACTTTCAAAAGTGTCAATTTTGTACCTTGACTATGCAATTTTTATCAATTTTGGTCACTCCAGTTAAATTGCTTTGGCCAAATTTCGCTGGAAAATTTTAACAGTTAAAATAATAAGGGTATTTTAGTCATTTCACATCTATTCCTTCTTCTCCGGCGAATTCTTTTTTTTTTTTCCGGCAAATTTTGGTCACTCTAGTTGCACGCGGTGATCCGATCGCGCAGAATATTATCTTGGCGTTGGTCAAATTGAACTACTGCTGGCCCATCTCCATCTCCGCCTACGGGGATACGACCAAGATCTCGTCATCGGTTCAGCAGGCCCCCAACAACACCGGCATCGCCCTCAACCATGTCCCCGCATGTATGTATCTCTGTGTTTGTAGTGGTTCTGGAAGGATTTGAAGCGGAGAAAACGACGTCGCAGAGAGCGCACCTGAGCAATGGTGTACGAGTTGGTGCCAGTGGTCCAAGGCAAGGCTGCTGCTAAGCAACTGAGGCTGTTTGGCGTGAACATCGTCGGCGTTGAGCCTCGAGGTGTTGAAGCAGGTCGAGACGACCCGGATCGCGATGATTGTGTTCTCCGCTGGAAAAAAAAAAAATCACCGGAGAAAAAGGAAGAGAGGAGAAATGACTAAAATACCCTTATTATTTTAACTATTAAAATTTTTCGGCGAAATTTGGCCGACAATTTGACCGAAGTGACCAAAATTGATAAAAGTTGCATAGTCAAAGTACTAAATTGACAGTTTTGAAAGTCAGGTGCTGAAATTAACAAGGCCCCTATAGTCATATGACCAACAACAACAGCAACAACAACAACAACAACAACAATAATAATAATAATAATAATAATAATAATAATAATAATAATAATAATAATAATAATAACAATAACAATAACAATAACAATAACAATAACAATAACAATAACAATAACAATAACAACAACAACAATAATAATAATAATAATAATAATAATAACAACAACAACAACAACAACAACAACAACAACAACAACAACAACAACAACAACAACAACAACAATAATAATAATAATAATAATAGTGACATGGTTGAAAAAATCGCTAAGCACTTAGAAGGCGTCTAGCGCCTAGGCGTCTGTTTATTTTAATTTTAATTTTATTTTTAAAAAATTGTTTAAAATTTTTAAATTTTTTAAGACTTGATAATTGTAAACTATTTAATACTTTAATAGTTAATATTAAAATATTAAATATTAACTTAAAAAACATCTAGAGTTTGAATAATTTAATGCTATTTCGCTCAAAACAATATCGTCTTGAGTGAAATAATCCATTTAAAAAAGAAAAGAACAATAGCTAATCGGGCGACTAGCAGACCTAGTTAGTGTCTAGGCGACATAGTCGGTGCCTAAGTGGCCTAGTTGGCACCTAAGAAGCCTAGTCGGTCAGCGCCTAGGCGATGCTTAGGCGGCCTAGTCCGTCACAAAAACGGACAGACTTAGACCACTGGTTATGGTTGTACGCTAGGCGGCCAAACAACGCCTAGACGGAATTTTTGCAACACTGAATATAATAATAATAATAATAATAATAATAATAATAATAATAATAATAATAATATTAATATTATTATTATTATTATTATTATTATTATTATTATTATTATTATTATTATAATAAATTTTAAATTGTTTAATGCATTGTAATAATATTATTATAATAATAAATAATATTGAAAAATAATTTTCTTTAATCTCTTTTTTTCATTTTTTTTTTTGGAAATAAAAAACAAAGGGCAAAGCCCATACAAAAGAATGACATAGGCAAACAAGGCAAATTATATCGTGCACCGCGGTGCATAATCGGTTATACACCGCGCATCAAAAGACGTCATTTTGTTTAATGAAAGAAACGACATTCGTTTTCCGTTGTTTCGCACTCTTCTGTAAAAAGTAACTCTATTATTCAGTTTCATTTTGTATACACTGCAGTTTCAGTTCAACACAACTACAGTTTCATTTTGGTATAACTACAGTTTCATTCAATATTTATAGACTCAAATATGTGAAAATGTTATTTAATTTTATTTTATATTTTATATAGTTTTATTAAAACACAACTACATGATCATTTTAATATAATTACAGCTTCATTGTACAATATACACTCAAATATGTGAAATGTTATTCAGTTTTATTTTATATACACTGCAGTTTCATTTCACCACAACTACAGTATCATTTTGATATAATTGCAATTTCATTTGATAATATAAAAATAATACGTGATGCAGTGTCGGTTTACATATACTGTAGTGTCAGTTGGTAATTAACATACAAAAAATGCGCGCTCCGTTAAAAGAAACGGCGCCGTTTTGACCGTGGTGCACGTGCATCGCGGTCCACGATATAACGATCCGGCAAACAAACACAAGACCATACCAAATAAAGAAAAGAAAAAGGCCCAAAGTAAAAGGCTAATCCTAGCTAAAAGGCCTGGCCAACAATGATAGCTCAAGCCGAAAATAAAGAATAAAAAGAATAAAAGGCCCAAACCAAAGGCTAAGTCTAGCTAAAAGGCCCAGGCAATTAGCCCAAACCAAGAGGACAAACAAAATTAAACAAAATTACCCAAATACCCCTTGCACGCAAATTATGTCCTGGACCCGTGTCCACAACAAGGTTATTTTCAGAGAAAACGCGTCATTTTAGTAAAAAAAAATTTTAATTTTGTCTCGCCGTTAATGGCGTTAACGGCGTTATTCGTTTGTACCATTATGAATGTACAGTTATGGGATTATGAATGTACAGTTACGGAATTATGAATGTACAATTATGAAATTATGAATGTAAGTTATAAAATTATGAACACAGAGCTCTGACATTATGAACATACAATTATGAACATATAGTGATAAAATTATAAACATAGAGCTCTAAAATTGTGAACATGGAGCTTCGAAAATTATGAATTTACAATTATTGAATTATGAATGTACAATTACGGAATTATGAATGTACAGTTATGGAATTATGAATGTACAGTTATGAAATTATGAACACAAAGCTCTGACATTATGAACTTACAATATGAACATATACTGATAAAATTATGAACATAGAGCTCTAAAATTGTGAACATAGAATTTCGAAAATTATGAATTTACAGTTATTGAATTATGAATGTACAGTTACGGAATTATGAATGTACAGTTATACAATTATGAATGTACAATTATGTAATTATGAACACAGAACTCTGACATTATGAACTTACAATTATGAACATATAATGATAAAATTATGAACATATACTCATATAACAAAGTGATATGAAATTAAAAAAAAAAAAAAAAAAAAAAAAAAAAAAAAAAAGTGGAAGAGAACGGTGCCACTAACGGCACCGTTACCATGTCCAGCATGCACCTTGCACCTTGCACCTTAAATAAAGAAAAAAAACTCACTTTTGGTCCCTCGACTATTGTATGTGTATCAAATTTTGTCATTAACTTTTAGTATTTTTTCTCCAAAAAAAAAATATATTAATATTTGCAAATTAAGTGCATGACTATGTAATTTGTATCACATTTGATTCATGACTATTAATATTTTCAAATTAGATGCATGACTTTGTAATTTGTATCATATTTGGTTTTACCGTCAATTTTCTGGCAACTATTGATGGAGTTTCAATGAGAAAAATATTTTTTTCGACAATAGTTGGCTGAAAATATTTTTTTAATTAGAACATGTTATTTTTTTTTTTGTTGAAATTTCTGCAATAGTTGACCGGAATTTGGACGGCATAACCAAATGTAATACAAATTACATAGTCATGCACCTAATTCGAAAATATTAATAGTAGTCAAGGATCAAATGTGATACAAATTACATAGTCATACACCTAACTTGAAAATATTGATAGTCAAGGACCAAATTTAATACATGCATAATAGTCAATGGACTAAAAGTGAAATATTTTTTTAAATAAATTAAACGACTTCCTAATCATATATTAAATCTCAGTCATCATATTTTCTTGACTGTTATTAATATTTTCAAATTAGGTTCATAACTATGTAATTTTGTATCACATTTGGTCATACCATTCAATTTTCTGACCAACTATTGCAGGTGCTTGTCTTGCCATCCAATTTTCAAATCAGCCAGTCGCGAACGCCGGTCACTGATTGTTTTCTTGTCGGAATTTGTGCTGAAAGGTTGTGGACCCTAATGACATGTGATAGTAGATCACTAATTAATTTTTAAATTTTATTCCATTCAAATATAATATTGATGAATTTAATTACAACTTTAAAATATTTAAGAGTCTAATTGAATGAAGCACATTTGACCTTTTTCTCTTTTTAAATAAAGAATTTCTTCTTAAGCACTTTGTACTCCGTTCACACAATCTCTTTCATGAATTTCTTAATTTGGAAATGGGAAGTAATAAAGTGGACCCCACTCCCCAGTGCAAAGCACGCCACTGCACTATGGTGTCGTTTTAGGCAATCTTCATTTTTACAATAATTTGGCATCGATTGCACCCCCCCTTCTCTCCAACCCCTACCCACCCACTCCCACCTTATCATTTTCAAAATTTGAAAGAACCTCAAACAAAAACATATCATAGCCGTTATCACCTCAAACACCCGCCCCCACTCTCCGCCTCCGCCGCCCTTCTCCTCCATTAAACTACCACCACCCGGTTCTTGAATCTGTATAGAAATCCCAGACAAGACTCCATGTTTCTAACCCCCTGAGAAAAAAAAATGAAATCAATGAAGGTGAAGCTGCTGAAGAAGCTGAAAACAATCAAGATAGTGGGCCATAACTCTAAGCAGGAAAGAGTTCTCCGTTTGAAGGCTTCCGATGGGTATGTCCACCTTTCGCCGCCGTCGACGCCAGCGGCGGCGGCCCCACCCCATTCTCCATTGTCCCCCATTTGTCTCCAAGAAAAAGAAGAAGAAGAACCAGAAATCATTGAGGTTTCGGAGCTGATGAAGGATCTTGAAGATGAAGAAATGGAGTTTCTTGATGAGGTTGACGACAAGGAGAACATTAGGCCTGTGTCGGAGGCTAAAAATTCGGAGAATCTTTCCCCATTGAAGCCAAAGATTGAAGCTTTTTATGGTAAAGAATTGCAAAGAGGGGATTCAAGATTCCCCCCTCCTTTGTCTGAGATTGATGTGTCCACCTTTAGATTTTTACAGGCAGCAATAGAAGCCAAAATGCAAGAACCACAAAAACTGCCAGCCATTGAAGCCAAAATTCAACACTTATCATCATCATCTGAAGAAGAAGAAGAAGAAGAAGAAGAAGAGCAAGAACCACCTACGAAAGCCCAAAAACTGGAAGAAAATACTAATCCCCTACTAGATTTCGAAGAGAAATGTCCACCAGGGGGGAGTGATTCAGTAATCCTGTACACGACAGGGCTTCGAGGGGTACGGAAAACGTACGAGGATTGCCAAAACACAAGATTCCTGCTGGAGAATTTCCGGGTTTTGTTCTTCGAGCGAGACATCTCAATGCACTCGGAGTTCAAGGAGGAGCTGTGGGGAATCCTGGGACAAAAGGTGGTGCCACCAAGGCTGTTCATCAAGGGGAGATACATTGGAGGAGCAGAGAGAGTGTTTGGGTTGCATCAACAAGGGAAGTTCAAGGCTCTTCTTCAAGGCATTCCTCTTGATGTTTTGCAAGAGCCCTGTGGAGGGTGTGGTGGGATGAGATTCATCCTGTGTTTCAGATGCCATGGAAGCAGAAAAGTTCATGTGGATGATGATAAGAATGGTGATGATGATGATGATGAGTGGAAGAAGAAATGCCCAGAGTGTAATGAGAATGGGTTGATTGTCTGCCCTCTGTGTTGTTGAGTTGATTAAGTCCGCATAGGCAATTCAACTGGTCACAAAGATGAAATTTGTCATGTAAAGGATCAAGAATAAGTCTCATCAGTGATAGTGCGGGAGCAACCTCTCAAATGAGGGACTCCTTGTGTGCGTGCAATCTAGCCTCGGATGATCAATTGAGTCAACGTGATTTAACTTTTCACAATCTTATCGGACCGGCCAGCCTGTGGTGGCATATGGAGTGGGCGTTTCCACTTTTTTGTGACAAGGGTGGAGTTGAGATGATTGATTCTTTAATGTTGGGAATCTGCAGTTGGTTATAGATTTTCATAGTAATTACATGTAGAATTCGAGAAGACACAACCAATGTCTGTATCTGTTCTTTAATTAATTTTTAGTGTGGGTGTTCAAGCAGATCATCTCATACTGTTTTTTTTTTTTTTTTTTTTTTTTTTTTTTTTTTTTTTTTGTGTTTCTTTTATATATATATATATTTTATTTACTAAATTGGATGTTATATGTATATTTTGTACGTGTATGATGAAGAAAATTGAAAGCAGTTCATTTTTTGTAACACACACTACATAAATCGTTCTAGTTAATACCAATTTCTGGTTCATCAAATATAGTGATGTTCTTTTAATCATATCATTCGTTATGATTCAGTTTAGGTCTTTAATTTTTGGAGAAATAGTGTTTTTTAAGAAATAAAATGTAATTAGTTTCTCAATTGTTGATGTTCATGTGAGTATTACTGACATTCTAATTTTTTAAAGAGTTAATACCCAAAATAGTCCCTCGACTATGTCGTAATTACCAATTTGGTCCTCGACTATTATTCTTACCCAATTAAGTCCTCAATTATATAATTTTTACCCAATTTAGTCCTTTGTCAATTTGACTGTTTGTTGACTGTCAAAAGTGGAAATAAAGTTGTAATTTTACAAGTTTTCTCCTTCCTCCTCATTTAGCAGCGCCAAACCATGTAGCGATAAGCTCCGGTTGGGTTCTAAACCTGTCAGTATCGAAGTAGTGGTTATGCATCGGATAGCCCATGAATTTGATTTCCAACGATTTTTTGACGATTGAAATCTGATCGGAGTGTATTGCTGCATGGTTTGGCGCTGCTAAATGGAGAGGAAGGAGAAATCTTGTAAAATTATAATTTTATCCCGACTTTTGACAGTCAACAAACAGTCAAATTAATACAGAGGACTAAATTGGGTAAGAATTGTATAGTTGAGGACTAAATTGGGTAAGAATTGTATAGTTGAGGACTAAATTGGGTAAGAATTGTATAGTTAAGGACTTAATTGAGTAAAAGTTACATAGTTGAGGACGTAATTGGATAAGAATGGTAATTGAGGACTAAATTGGTAATTATGGCATAGTCGAGGGACCATTTTGGGTATTAACTCTTTTTTAAAAGTTGATAGTTTTGGCCCCTTGCCAACAGAGTCACTTAGGTTATCCTTATCCCTACAAGTGTATCTCACTCTTAAAAGTGGATCTCACATCCCAGTCATAAAATTTGAAATTACTTTACTATTTACTCAACATCTCTGCAATACTTTTTCACTTTAAAAAATAGTCTCACATTCACATCACAATAATAAATTCATATATTTTCCAATAAATAAATACATATAATAACAATAAAATAATAAAAAACAGCTTTTGCTACCATTTGACAGTAAAAATAGTGGGTTGAATGCTTGCTAAATTAGCAAGCTTTCAATATAAGTATATAAATCACGTAGGACTTAAATACGTGACAGGATCTTTATTTAAGTACTAAGTACTAACCTCCAACCATAGCTTTCGATTGATGATGATTGAATAGTCACGAGACTGCTGCGACAGAGTAATTAACAGTATATGTTTCTCTCACTTTCTCAACCCTCTTTGGATGGTGTATGAGGAATGAATGTTAAGCAGTGAGAGGACTAGAGGACTCTTTATATAATAACCATATGCCATCAATATGGTAACCGAATCCCTTCCTAATCACACTCCTTATCTTTTACAATCAATCATTATCTTGATTGGTAGGAGTATGTATAGAAAATTGCACCACATAACAGATTACCTTAATTATTATAAAGTTGACTTAATATTATAATAATGTAATTAAGAAAATGTTACATTAAACCCACCGGCGGGCAATAAAAAAAAAATTGTTGCCACCTCACCTAGCAAGTAATAAACTTGCTGAGTTAGAGGTTAGCCTTATAAAGTCATTAAAGCCTATGTTAATATGTTGAAGAACAAAAACCATCAACATCATCATTTTTGTGAAAAATTGAAAGGTCAATAATGCTTGCATCAACAATTTAGAGACTAAATTAAAATTGTTATTTCTTTTTAAATACACGTATAAAAAAAATACTTTTTCTTTTAATTTTCTTCTCGTCTTGCAATTGATGTAGGATAAAGGACGATATAGGCAAGTGATTGTGGAGTAGGGCTCTAGTAGAGGGTGAAGTGGTAGCTAGGGGTGGGGAAGAAAATGCCTATATATAGAAATTTTGATTTATTGTTTCCAAACAATAATTCAAAATAACTTATTTTGAATTATTCAATAGATAGCTACACGACCGAGTTAAGAAAGTCTTTGGAATATAAACTTGGAATATAGAAAAAAATATAGATAAGCCTGATATCATTTCTAGTACATCTTTACAAATTGAAAGGGGCATGAAGATTTTGGAGTCTCCCTAACTATTACTATCACCCATGCTTAAAGGATGCATGATAACTGATAAGTGGGGTGAGTTTTTACCAAGGAGTGTTTCAATTGTGGTGTTATAATTGTTGAAAAGTTTAGTGAAAAATGATATTTAAAGTGATTATTTTGAACAATATTTTTAGTAGAGTTTACTCTCAAAATAGCTGATTATAATTTTTATGAGTTTGAATTGTACACTCAAAATAAATAATAATGGGTGATTATTATACAATTTTTATTTATTTGTTCATCAAATAAAATTCAAATGTAAAACATGTGGAACTGTGGAAGAGTTTTACATCATAAAAATACATTTATCATTCTCAAAGTAATTATACTTAAGTTGGAGCATTGGGTCAAGAGGAATATCCTTGAAGGATTTGTTGTACTGTTCTTTTTATTTTATTACATGCATGGAAAGCATACATATAACGTTAAATATTATGGTAAAGTTGATAGATGACTAAAAAATCCTTACGCGGCCGATCTCAAAGTTTCACTTTACTAGGAAAAAAATAAATAAATAAAGGCAAAATTTTGAATTAGTAGGGTCATAAAAGAGGAAGAAAAAGTAAAGATGTTATGAGTAACAAAATTAAAATGTTGAATCAATTTGAATGGGTGTAGAGTATAATTCCTATATCAAAAGGTTACGAGTTCAATTATTGTTAATATCTTTTTATCGAATCCGCCAAACAGGACCTTCCTAGTGCAGTTTACTTCTCATGTATAGTTACACACTCTCAAATATTGATTACAGATTTCTATCGTTAAAAAAAGTCAAATCAATTGTTGATGTTCTCCACCACTATGCGCACACAATGTGATGATAACCATTGGGGTAATCTATGTGCTATATTAGAACTCTATTTGTGTATTTGAGTCTACTTATGATTCTCATTCCTAGTCTCCCTCTGTCTTCTCTTATATATTGGTAGGGAATACCCCGACCGACATGCCTTCGTCTTTCTATTCTTGTTTATGCAGGTTACAGGTCGGACTCTCTTAGAAGAACCCGGTCAGTTGTCGACCGGGCATCACCCGACCGAAGCCCTTGAATCCCGATCGATAGCCCTTAGGTGAAGAGAGCCGCGAAGAGACACGTGGCAGCATTACGCGCTGACAGGCAGGGCTCCCGGGAGGAGGGCACGTGGTAGCTACGCGGGGGACATGCCGAACGGCCGGACTTGTGTCTCCGACCCAACGGCTATAAAAACCCGCGGCTGCAACAGTGTGGGGGACTTTTGGACGATCGATAGGCTATTGCTAGAGCATCCCGACTGCAGTCAGTCGGCCCTCAGAATAGCCAGTGTAGATTGTATTTAGGTCCTTCACCCCAATCAAAGATTTTACTGGCTTTGATTGGACTTGTGTTATTTATTTACCGCTTACGTGGGAATTAACACTATCATTTTGGCGCCGTCTGTGGGGACCCGTGCAAATAAGCTAACGTTTGACGAGCACATGTCCTTTCTCTCATCATGTATCCATTCGCATACAACCTCTTCGGCGACGATCAAGCGAATGCGGCGAGCTCATCCGATCATCAGCCGACCCAATATCAAGGTCAGACCGTTGACCTCAACCTTAATCTCTCACCGCCCCATCCGGCAGCTCAGTACCCGACCGCGCAACAGCCGGTCAATTACATCCAACCATGATATCCACCACCCGGTCAGCAGCTCCAGTACCCCGGGCAATATCCTTACCCGATCCCGCCTCTACAATACGGATATTGGTCCGGTCAACCAATGTTTTATACACCACCGACTGGTTATCCCCCTTATACACCTGCGTACACGGCTCCAGCCGCCGCCCCTCCGATTTACCCGATTGCTCAGGTAGAGCCGGAGCATCAGCCCACTTCCCGGGCTCGACGCTTGGCTCGTTCGCAGTTGGGGTCGCAGGGTGCCGAGGCCATGGAGGTACCACGGCAGGCTCAACAGGTACAATCGGAGGTTCAAGCCCAAGCGGAGGACCCCGAGGAAGTCAACCGGGCAGTAGCATTTGAGCGCCTCCGACCAGCAATGCGGCAACGATTGGAACCACAAGACCCGAGCCGGCGCTCAGTAGATGTACCGATGCAAGAGGCCAGTCAAGAGGCTTCATTCGGACATAATGGGTCGAGATCGCATCGTCGACGACGCGCCCGGGAAACGACCCAGGCCCAGACGACTGAGCTTAACGAGACACGAGGACTGCTCCATGACCTCCAGGCAGAATTTGCTCGGTTTCGGAACGGGCACACAGTGAGGCCCCCGGTCGATCAATCAGCCTCGCTATTGAGGACACCCTTCACGGCGGAGATTATGGCCCAGCCATACCCGCTCGATCTACAAGTCCCGGGGAACAAGGGTTATGATGGCCGTACGGACCCTGAGGTCCATGTCAACACCTACTACGGCAACATGATGATGATGGGCTGTCAGACGCCATAATGTGTAGGGCTTTCTACTCCACGCTGGCCGGTCGGGCGGCCGAGTGGTTTCGTACGTTGCCGCCAGGTTCTATTTCTGATTTTGCAACTCTGGCGATGAAGTTTATGAGGAAGTTTGTCACTTCTAAGATAGTGAGGAAGCCCTACATGTACTTGGAAAAGGCCATGCAGTTGGAAGGGGAGAGCTTGTCCGATTTCCTGGTCAAGTGGAAAGCTGCGGTCGGGGAGGTCGAACCAATGGACGA